TTTTTGAACACTGTTACCCACTCCCTCAGTTTCTCCTACTTTCTCCTCTTCACTCCTGCCCCTCCCCCCAAGTTGTAAAGTTCATTTCCAACGCAGTGTCTAGTGAGTATTATTGTTGCATTAATTCATCCTTTCTCCTGCCATTTCTGTGATTCCCTTTCCCTTCTGTGGATCAGATTCAAGACAAAGGGTACAGAAAACTAAAACAAAAACAAGTGGGGCTGGGAAGGTAGCTCAGTGGTAGAGTGCTTGCCTTGCATGCATGAGGCCCTGGGTTAGATTCCTCAGTACCACATAAGCAGAAAAAGGCCATAAGTAGAGCTGAGGCTCAAGTGGTAGAGCGCTTGCCTTGAGCTGAAGAGCTGAGGGACAGTGCCCAGGCCCCAGAGTTCAGGCCCCACAACCGACAAAGAAAAAAGAAAAAAAAGAAATAACTGCAAACAGAACATAATAAAACCCTCTTGTTTCCAATTCTTGGTGTCTATTTTGATAAGGTTCATTATATATGATCATATGCACCTTGCGATTGGGCTATTGTGATCCTCTGCTAAAAATATCATAAACATATTCTAGTTATTACAAATAAGGGAAACCATGCAACCTACATTTCTTTGGGCCTGGTTTGCTTCCCTTAACATAATTTTTTTCCAGGTCTTCCCATTTCCTTATGAATGGGGCAATATCATTCTGATGGAAGCATGGAATACTATGTGTATATATACCAAATTTTCTTGATCCATTCATCTACTGAGAGGCAATCTAGGCTGGTTTCATATCTTAGCTATGGTAAAGAATGCTGCAATGAACATGGTTGTGGTGGTATCTTTAGTATGGCCTTTAGTATGCCCAGGAGTGGGATTGTTGGGTCATAGGGAAGCTCTATGTTTAATCTTTTGAGGAACCTCCAGAGTGGTTGAACAAGTTTACATGCCAACCAACAGTATAGTTGTGTTCCCTTTTGGCCACATCCTGCCGGCATCTGTTAGTATTAGATTTCGTGAAAATGGCTATTCTAACCGGGGTGAGGTAGAATCTCAATGTTGTTGTTTTGATTTGCACTTCTTTTATGACCAGAGATGTTGAACATTTCTTCATGTTTTTCTTCTACTGGCCATTCTTAGTTCCTCTCCAGAGAAGCCTTTCTTTTTTTTTTTTTTTTTTTGGGATCCAGTCGTGGGGCCTGAACTCTGGGCGTGGGCGCTGTCCCTCAGCTCTTCAGCTCAAGGCTAGTACTCTACCACTTGAGCCACAGCGCCACTTCCGGCTTTTTTCTTTTTGCTTATGTGGTGCTGAGGAATCAAACCCAGGGCCTCATGCATGCAAGGCAAGCGCTCTACCACTGAGCCACCTTCCCAGCCCAGAGAAGCCTTTCTTTAAGTCTTTAGCCCACTTGTTAGTGGGGTGGTTGTTTCTTTGAGGATTTGTTTTTGGGTGATTTAATTTTTTGAGCTCTAAGTATATTTTAGATACGAGGATCTTGTCTATTGTATGGCTAGTGAAGATCTTCACACAATCTGTGGGCTTTCTATTTATCATGTTAGCTGTGACTTTGCTATACAGAAGCTCTGCAGTTTAATACAATCCCATTTATTCATCCTTTCTTTGATTTGCTTGTTTCTGGGTTTTTAATTAAGAAAGGAGCTCTAGTGTTTTCCCTATTCCTTCCTGTAATATTTTCAGGGTATCTGTTTTTACCTTGAGGTCTTTGATCCATTTGGAATTGCTTCTGGTGCAGGGTGATATATAAGGATCTAACTTCAGTTTTCTACATGTGTACAGCCAGCTCTGCCAGAACTATGTGTTGAAAAGCTTTTCTTTCTTCCATTTCGTTTTGTTGGCTCCCTTATCAAAGATTAGGTGGCCATAGGTCTGTGAGTTAATTTCTGGATCTTCAATTCTATTCCATCAGTCCTCAGGCCTGTTCTTGTGACAATACCAAACTGTTTTTTATTATTATGGCTTTGTAATAGAGTTTGAAGTTTGGTATTGATATTCCTCCAGCACTGTTCTTCCTGTTAAAGACTGTTTTTGCTATTTGGGGTCTTCTATTATTCTATATGAATTTTTGATTGTTTCTTCTATTTCCTTAAAGAATGATGTTGGGGGCTGGGAAGGTGGCTCAGTGGTAGAGTGCTTGCCTTGTATGCATGAGGCCCTGGGTTTGAATCCTCAGTACCATTTAAGCAGAAAAAGCCAGAAGTGGCACTGTGGCTCAAGTGGTAGAGCGCTAACCTTGAGCTGAAGAGCTGAGAGACAGTGCCCAGTCCCAGAGTTCAGGCCCCATAATGGACAAAAAAAAAGAAAAAGAAAAAAAGAAAGAAAAAGAATGATGTTGGGATATTGATGGGTATTGCATTGATAAGCTTTTGGCAGTACTGCCATTTTCATGATGTTAGTCCTAATCCAGGGGCTTTGGAAGTTTTTCTATTTCCTTAGATTTGTTTTAATTTCCTTTTTTCAGATTTTTAAAGTTTTCATTATAGAAGTCTTCACTTCTCTGGGTAAGTTAATTCCTAGGTATTTTATTTAATTTTTTTTTGAGGCTATTACAAAGGGAGTTGCTTTCCTGATTTCCACCTTGCTCTTCTCATTGTTGGCATACAGAAAAGCTATTGATTTTTGTGGATTAATTTTATACCCTACTACTTTGCCAAAGACACCCTTATCTCTTCTTCAACTGAAATTGGGCCTTCCACTCTAGACTCCCATCTCCCAGGTCTTTCATACCCCAATATCCATCTGGAGGTAAGACTGCTATCCTTAATTTGTTGCTCCCTGGCTAGTATTATTTTATCCTCAAGCCAACAGCCCTGGTCATATGTGCTTTTCCTTATAGTTGTCCCCTACCCCTTGTGGCTTCTAGATGCCTATTCCATTTATCCTAGGGCCCAGTCCATTAGCTGGTTCAATCACATTAACTTTCATCAACATCCATGCTATCTCAGATCCTCACACTCACAGCCAAAGCTAAAGTACATTATCACCAAGATCCACTCCACTTTTGAAAGCATAGCCTAAATAAATTGCTCTTTAATCTCAATCTTTTTACTTCTACTTGCTGTTTCCTTAATTAAATCAAAATCTCCCTTCTCTTGTCCTCTCTACATTATCTACAATTTTCTGATATTTTACTCCTTTTTTTTTTTTTTTCCGGTTGGTTGTGGGGCCTGAACTCTGGGCCTGGGCACTGTCCCTCAGCTCTTCAGTTCAAGGTAAGTGCTTTACCACTTGAGCCACAGCGCCACTTCCTGCTTTTTCTGCTTATGTGGGGCTGAGGAATAGAACCCAGGGCCTCATGCACGCAAGGCAAGCACTCTACCACTGAACCACTTTCCCAGCCCTATTTCTTTCTTGAATCAGTTTAGACACCAAGATCTATCACTTCTTGGAAACAGCCATGGTAATCTTCATGGATTTTTGGGCTGGTTCACATAGTATAGTTCAAATAAATTTGAAGTAGTGTAAAGATAAATACAAACCAACAAACCAGAGTTCTACTTCATGTAAGAATAGGAATTAGTGGATTCTTAACATTTTAAGAACTCTCAGGAATTACTCAGAGTGAGCTACTGCATTGTGGTGTGACCCAGCTGACCAGAAGAACACCTGCCATCTTGCTCAGGACTGTAAGTCTCACTGCTGTTTATGTGCTCTGGGACTTCTGGAAGTGATTAGGATGACTAATGTGCTGTTGTTTTACAAACTCTGTTATTATAACTGAAAATATTTTTACATCCTACAACAATATCTCTCAAGCATTCATTTAGCAGTGGTTATAGAAATTATGCTGAAAAAAAGTGTCCCCAAACAGTACCAAAACAGAGACTGATTGTGATAAAAGCCCACATGAAGACCAAACACCCACCAGGAGAGCCTGTACTATTCAATGAGGAGAAAATACTCTAAAAAATTAGACATATAAAAAAATTAAAGTAAAATGTGTTACAATACTACATATTTCTGGGCCTCCCTAATATCCCTTCACATTTTTCCTATGAGACAATTAGTCTTTAAATCTGAACTTTAAATCACAAGATTAGTAGTTCATCAGCCAAATAAATGTAAATGTCTTTGAGAATTTAGCCTGGAGCTGGTGGCTCACACTGTAATCCTAGTTACTAAGGAGACTGAGATCTGAGGATCCTGATTCAAAACCATCCCAGGCAGGAAAGGCTGTGAGACTTTTATCCCCAATTAACCATCAGAAAACCGGAAGTGGAGCTGGGTCTCAAAGTGGTAGAGCACAGCCTTGAGCAAAAGAGCTCATAGTCCCAAGTTCAAGCCCCACAAATGACCCCCAAAAAACCCACACATAATTTCCTCTACTTTTTCTGCAAAGTATTTCTTTTTGTCCAGTACTACATTTCAGGAATATAGCAAACAGTGTGGAGATTATGGAGTCAGACTTTCTGGGTCTGAAGCTCCTAGCTCAATCATTTTCTAGCTACGTGACTTTATAATCTCTCTATTGGTTTCCTTATCTGAACAGTTCAGACAATATTACCCACTTTTAGGGCTGTTGTGAGGACAGAATGAGTTGATATATTTAAGATGCAAAAACCCTGTGTGACACTCAGTAAACAGTAGGTAAGCATTAGCTATTATAGTAGTTATCTTCTCCATTACCATCAGCACTTTCCTAACAACCCTTGATGATATTTGTAAGCTGGAATTTGCCTCATTGGGTTAAAAAAGAATCTGCCTCTTTGGTAACAGTTTATGAAGCACTCATAGAATGTGTGGTAGTTCCTAGTAAAATATACGATGGTGTATTTTAGGGCATTAGGCATTAGCCCTTTTTTTTCTATTTTCTTTTGAACAGCTACTGAAAGCTTCATCACATTTCTGAGAATCAGTATATACTGGAGGAGGCAATATTTACCTTTTCTAGCAAAGAAAGTACCAGGCAAGCAATATAATTCTGAATAGGGTATGCTCAGAAACAGATATTTACATCTGTGATTCGACTGTTTCAGTGACTACTTCTTTAGCCATCTTACCTTTAGTCTGTCTTTAGGCAGTGCAACAACCCCCTGCTTAATGATTTCCAAGACCCGTTCTACTGACAGCTCAGCTCCAGCCTGTAGCAGCCTTGAGCTAAAGAAGGTGATCACCTGGAAATGAAAAGAGATATTTTTTAAATAAATTCTTTTGAGATGGGTGTTGCCTTTATGCTCAAGCAGGTCACCCCCTCCCTCCCTTCTCTACATACGAGGGTTTGAACTCAGGACCTGGAGCTTTCTAAGCAGAGGTCTACTACTTAAGCTATTTTTTTTTTTTGGGAGGGGGCAGTCCTAGGGCTTGAACTCAGGGCCTGGGCACTGTATCTGAACTTCTTTTGCTCAAGGCTAGTACTCTACCACTTAAGCCACAGCACCACTTTTGACCTTATCTGTTTATGTGGTACTGAGGAATCAAACCCAGGGCTTCATGCATACTAGGTAAGTATTCTACCACTAAGCCACATTTTTTTTTTTTTTTTGTCCAGACTGGCCTCAAATTGTAATAGCCCTATCTCCATGCTTAAGTAGCTAGGATTGTAAGTGTGAGCCATTGAGTTGGGTTCCCAGGTTGGTCTTGAACACACAATTTCTCTGTCCCAGCTTCACAAGTAGCTGGTATTACAGATCTATACCACTGTGATCATCTACCTACCTACCTACCTACCTACCTACCTACCTACTTAGTGCCTATCCTAGGGCTTGAACTCAGGGCCTGGGAGCTGTCCCTGAGCTTCTCCCCAAACCCCCCTTGCTCAAAGCTAGCACTCTACCATTTGAGCCACAGTTTTTGGTAGTTGATTGGAGTCTCATAGACTTTGCTGCTCAGGCTGACTTTGAACTCTGATCTTCAGATCTCAGCTTCTGGAGTAGCATAGAATTACAGGTTTTATGAGCCCACTGCCATCTGGCTATAAAATTTTTAAACAAACAGTTGTATAAAATGTATTTTAAGTAGATACCTTTCTCACATTGTAGTAAAACTATCCTAATTCCAGTTCTAAGCAGATTTGGCTTTTAACTTTACCTTCCCTTCTATGTACACCCTGTTTTTTTTTTTTTCTTTTTTTTGTCAGTCCTGGGGCTTGAACTTAGGGCCTGAGCTTCTTTTGCTCAAGGCTAGCACTCTACCACTTGAGCCACAGTGCCACTTCTGGCCTTTACTGTATATATGGTACTATGGAATCGAACCCAGGGTTTCATGCATGCTAGGCAAGCACTCTACCACTAAGCCACATTCCCAGCCCTGTGCATCCTTCTCTTTATGACATCTGATAGCAAGCATCAACAGTACACATTCAGGGATGACTGTTCTTGTTGTAAATTTGTCAGCCTCCCAAATTTTGCTTATTCTTGTGCTACCTCATCTGGTATTTGTATGTCATTGAAAGAAGCTCAAGTTAGCTCAAAGCAAAATTCATCAATTTTGAGGCTTAATAGGAGGTCTCAGAAAAATTCTTTTTTTTTTTTTTTTTTTTTTTGGGTCTGGTCGTGGGGCCTGAACTCTGGGCCTGGGCGCTGTCCCTCAGCTCTTCAGCTCAAGGCTAGCGCTCTCTTGAGCCACAGTGCCACTTCTGGCTTTTTTTCTTTTTGCTTATGTGGTGCTGAGGAATTGAACCCAGGGCCTCACGCATGCGAGGCAAGCGCTCTACCACTGAGCCACTTTTCCAGCCCTCAGAAAAATTCTTAATAAGAAAGCAGGGCTGGGAAGGTGGCTCAGTGGTAGAGCTCCTTGCCTAGCTTAAGTGAGGTCTTTTTCATTTAATTTAAAAAAATTGCTATTATAAAGGTGATGTACAGAGGGGTTACAGTTATGTAAATATGGTAAAGAATACATTTCTTTTTGGACAGTGTCTCCCCTTCCTTCACTCTTGCCCAGTTTTTTTCCTACTATCCCTACTCACAAGTTGTATAGTTCATTTTCAACACAGTATGCAGTGAATACCATTGCTTCATTTGTTCATCCTTTGTTCCTCTATTTCTGTGCTCCCCTTACACTCCCAAAGACAGATAAGCAAACATACAGAACAAAAAGAGCAAAATAGAACAAAACAAAGAAACTCTTGTTTTCATTTCCTGAAGTTCCTGAGTGAGGTTCTTTTAAATTACTCTTCTAAATATTAATTATTAAGAAGACCATACCTTTTCTCTTAACTATTCTAGTTGAAAGTAAACCAAGTTAGGTAAATGCCACTGACATGTATTTGTCCCAATGGAGTTAGAATCATTACCAAGTGTGTGCCTCCCACCTCAGAAAACGACTAACAGCAAAGGCAGCTGTGGCTGATTATATTCCTTTTCATTCCAGATAAACAAGAAAGTTGCTTGAGATAAAGAAATGATCATCCATTCTTTCACAAGTTGCTCATTATATCCACACAGGTTGGTTCCCCAGTATGTGCTTATACATTTTATTTTTTTAAGCTTCTTTTGGGATTCTGGGATTCAAATTGTTTTGACACAGTAGACTCATAAATTCATTTCTGTACCATAGTCACTAAATCTTTTTTTTTTTTTTTTAAGTCATGGGGCTTGAACTCTGGGCTTGGGTGTTGTCCCTGTGCTCTCCCCTGTGCTGAAGGTGAGTGTTCTACTGCTTAAGCCACAGCGCCATTTCCAGTTTTCTAGTGGTTTATTGGAGATAAGAGTCTCTTGGAATTTCCTACCCCAGCTGGCTTTGAACCATGATCCTCAGATCTCAGCCTCCTGAGTAGGAGGATTACAGGTGTGAGCCACTGGCGCCTGGCTTAGTCACTAAATCTTTGAAGAAAGACACATTACAATGGTTCCTTCAAACTCTTAAAATGTGCAACAAAGAAGCAAAAAAAAAAAAAAAATGCCTTCCTGTTGTATAACTACCTTTATAGATCTTAAACATAAAGTTTTCAAAATTGACTATCCATACAAATGATCACTTTCTACTGGTAAAAATGGTTGATATCAGCAATTTCAGGGGATTTAACCAAATAGCTGTGGGTAAAATAAAGAGAAGGAACATATGTGTTAAAAATATACTCTAAGGGGCTGGGAATGTTGCGTGGTGGTAGAGTGTTTGCCTAGCATGCATGAAGCCCTGGGTTTGATTCCTCAGAATCACATACACAGATGAAGCTGGAAGTGGTGCTGTGGTTCAGGTGGTAGAGTACTAGGCTTGAGCAAAAGAAGCTCAGATACAGTGCTACAGTGCCCAGGCCCTGATTTCAAGCCAAAAACAAAACAAAACAAAACAAAAACATTCTAAGAAATGAAAAAAAGTAAAAAACAGATTTGTCAGACATAAAATGTCTTTCTCATATTTACTAGAAGCTGATATTTTGTTATTGGATGATGTTTGAAAGATAACAGAGGAAAGTAGTAGTTCTCAAATACAGCTGAGTATCAAAAAAAGTTGGGAGGCTTTGTAGTATACTTATTCCTTGCCAGAGACCTTCTATATCAATATCTTCTGGTGATTTTGATCAGCCAGAATCTAGAACAGTGGGCTTCAAAATTTTCTGACTTATATGCCTATAAGCTAAAAAAAAAAAGGGGCTGGGAAGGTGGCTCAGTGGTAGAGTGCTTGCATTGCAAGCCAGAGGCCCTGGGTTCGATTCCTCAGCACCACATAAGCAAAAAAGCCGGAAGTGGCACTGTGGCTCAGTGGTAGAGCGCTAGCCTTGAGCTGAAGAGCTGAGGGACAACGCCCAGGCCCAGAGTTCAGGCCTCACGACCGGACCCAAAAAAAAAAAAAAAAAAAAAAAAAGCTAAAAAAAAAAAAACAATAAAAAAACCCCACTGGGATTACAGGCACCTGTAATCCTAGCTACTCAGGAGGCTAAGATCTGAGGATTGTGGTTCGAAGCCAGTCTCAGCAGGAAAGTCTGTGAGAGGGCTGGGAAGGTGGCTCAGTGGTAGCGTGCTTGCCTTGCATATATGAGGCCCTGGGTTCAATTCCTCAGCACCACATAAGCAGAAAAAGCTGGAAGTGGTGCTGTGGCTCAAGTGGTAGAGCACTAGCCTTGAGCTGAAGAGCTGAGGGATAGTGCCCAGGTCCAGAGTTCAGGCCCCATGACTGGCAAAAAAAGCAAAACAAAAAAAAAGTCTGTGAGATTCTTATCTCAAATTAACCACCAGAAAACTGGAAGTGGTACTGTAACTCAAGTGGCAGAGCACTCACCTTGAGCTAAAGGACTCAGGGACAGCTCCCAAGCCAAAAGTTCAAGCGCCACCAGGACAGACAAAAAAAAAAAAAAAGAAAGGGAAGGTTTTCTTATTGTCTATGTTCTATCAGTTTATATTGCAAAATATATATAAAAGAAAATTAAAAAGAATAAAATACAAATGAACTAGATATTAGAAATACTTAGCTAATAATACAAAACATACAAAATATTACTAAAAATAATTAGATAAATCAGTTATCATAATTCTTGCTAGCAGTAATACTTATTTAACATTATCATGAGGGAACAAAATATATTCCCTCAGTAAGATATGCTGTTTATGATAGTAGATGTAAATCTGTACTAGAAACAGTCCTCCTGATAATATTTATACATCTATTTCTTGTGAGATGATGGAGTTCATCACTGTTTCCACCTTGTAATGCGATGCCTGTACTATAAGGAGAGGGACATTTGTCATTATCTTTTGTTGTGTTTACTGATATTACTGTTATTATTTCCAACTTGGAAGATAATATTCATGAAGGTTTAGGTCCAACAACTAGGAACACAACTGTACAATAAACTGTAAGAAAAATCACAGGTACAGGCAATTGTGCCAACTCCTATATGTTGAGGTTTTCTTCCTTTCTCTTCCCTCAGGACAGACAGGGTTCTGTAGTTGACTGTGCCACTTTATCAGTGCCAATGGTGTTTGGCAAGTGCTGTACCACTGAGCCACACCCCAGGTCAGTACCAATACTATCAGTAACAAGAAATCTCTTTAGATGAGCAAATAAAGTTCTAATATATTCTTTACCAAGATAACAAAATGCCTATAGTCAAAAGTCAAGCAGAAGACACAGTATTCATATTATAAAGACACTGCAAGCCAACGAAGAGTGAGCATCCATATACCTCCAAAGAGCAAAGGGATGAGATGACCATCCTGTTTGGTTCTCTGGCTTACAC